TGTGTTGAGAAAACTGCAATAGTATTTTTTCATAATCTATGAAAGATTATAGTTCTTTGTTGAAGACAGTTGTTGTAATACTTCAAAACAATTTTTGCTAATGCTTCTCTTATGGACATGAGCTATGAATATTAATCTATGAATGATTAATATATTAACCCATTATGTCAAAATATGGGCGGAGATATTCAAAGTTTTCTTTATCTAATGACTTACGGGACACTCTATATATATTTATTTAGAAAAACAACGACTAACTTTTAAAGCAAATACTCCTTGTTCCTTTCTTCCAGTTGGTGTATAAACACGAATGAGTACACCATTAGAATCACGTGTTTCAATATAATCATAATGTCCAATAACATAAGCAACTAAATATGTTGACATAACCGGTGTTGTATCAAATTCATAAATACATGTATCATTTCCATCATCATATTTTAATTTAACTGGCTAATAAAAATAAAAAAAAACAAAATTTTATTTAAAAAAGAATTATTTATTTCTTTATTTTATACCATATTACTCAATGTTGTTAAATATTTAGGAGCTCGAATAGTTATTGTAAAATTAGCTTTAAATGATGGTTCATCAAAACAAGGAAATGCTTGACGAGCATATCCAGGCTAAGAAAATTTAATAAAATTTAAAAAATTAAAAAAAAAACTAATCGAAAATCTAATCTTACTTCAAATTGTGTACATAAACCTATACGATTATGAGCTTTAGTTCGATAAAATCCATTAAGTTGATCATTTATTTTACCATTAAATGATAAATATAAACGACCATTTCCAGGCTTAAAAAAACAAAAAAAAACAACTATATATTAAGAAATTTGAAATCAATTTATAAAATTTACATTTAATTGTTGATTAAATTCAATTATCGCTTGTTCATAATCTTTATAATATGTAACTGATCCATTAAGAGTAAAATTGAAATCATCATGTTGAAATTCTATTTTGGTTATATTTAATTTCACACTATTCAATATAATTTCATTCACAATTTCTTTGATCTAAAATTTTTAAATTATTATTTATTTATTTGAAATTTGAATTAATTTTACTTGAATATCAATATCTACAGTTCCTTGAAAAATATATTGTTCAAGTTGACTAGTATCAATATACAAACGATAATGTGATGGAATAATAGTTGTTGGTAATCGATGGACTGACTTATTAGATATTTTTGTTATAGAACGTGTTAAATTGTCTAAATTAAAAAAAATATTTTTAAATAAAATTAAGTCAAATTTTTTTTAAACTAAAACGTACAAACCAAAAATGGCAAAACAGCAATAGCAATAACCAAACTACAAACTATGAAAAAAACCAAAATTCTAATTCGACAATAGACTTCGTCGAACACTTTGCGCTCTAGTTTCTTCATTACGATACTATCTATTCTTTGTCTTTTCCTTTAAATATATACAGAGAATCGATATGTATGTATATCGAGAGAACATAAAAAAACAGCACAGAATCATGTGCAATTTTTTTTCCGAAATAATTAGTTTTTCTTTTGCCTTAGAAAAAGCATGGCGGCAAATTGTTTCTAACAATTGTGTGGATTTTTCAGCAAGTCTTCGTATCAACGTATCATTATCTCTTTGATTCTTTTTCCAAAATGTCATCATCATCATCAACACAAAAACAACAACGTCATCGAATTAATTATAGTAATATCCAACAGTCGCGTAATACAAATGCTTATTTTGATCGTAACGACTATTATCGACAATCATTAATTACTAAAAACAATTATTGGAATCAAAATTTTCATGAATCAAATAATGATTTTTATATGAATGATTATTATCATCAACATCGAAATATATATTCATTGTCATCACGACCTATACGAAAAGGAAAACAGATTAAAAATGAACAACAACATAATTCAAAAACAATTTTTTCATCATCATCATCTAATAATAATAATAATAATAATCATGCATATTATGATAATCTACCACCTCGTCATCGTCTTCAACAACAACAACAACAACAACAACAGCAAATTGATAAACGTGAACAACGTTCATCACGTTTACAAGAATCACGAACAAATAATAAATCCGATGAAATTAAACTTCCAAATTCTTCAACAAAAATTGAACAAACAACAAAACCATTAAAATCATCTTCATCAAGTAGTACAAATTCTGATCTATCAAATAATCCTGGTTCAACTCATCGAAAAGATTTACATGCTAAAAATTTAGCTGCTGCTGCTATTGCAGCTCGACAACACAATTCATCAGCACAAACGAATTTAAGTACTGTACAAGCATTAATGAATTCTCTTATTTTACAACAACAACAACAACAACAACAACCACCATCACAATCACAATCAACAGTTCAATTACAATATCAACTTACAAATGCTCTTTTAGGAATAAGTAAATCTTGAATTAATATGAAAAAAAAAAGTTTTTTTTTCTGATAAACAAGTGATTCAACAACGTCTTAAAGAAGCTACACTTCAAGCTCAAGCACAACAAATTCAAGCTACTTTACCAACATTATTAGCAGCTCAAGCTCTTGTCTATCAACAACAACAACAGCAACAAGGACAATTAACAGGTATTCAACAACAAACTCAATCAATTCGATCACCAAATATTGCACACCCGGGTACGAAATTTAATAACCGTCCACTTGTTAAATTTCCTGTTATTCGTCCAACAATGTCTCCATTATCATCAACTATGATGATGCCTATTATTCGACCAGCAATTACAACAAATCTTTCTCGTCATCGATTAGTAACTAATTCTCAACAAATTTGTTCTTCAACTACTTTACCAACTTATCAACAAGTACAAGAAATTGAAAGAGGAATTTCATTAGATGAAGCTATTCATTTAAAAGGTGCTATCGATATTGCTGATATTAATAATAATTCGGTTAATGTTGAAGCAGAAACTATTCAAATAAATAATAATATAACTGAATGATAAAAAGATTTTTGAAGAAACTGAATCAATTATTAAATTCTTTGTTTTTTTTTGTCTTCTGTTCTGTATATATGTATAGAATAATCTATATATTTTGTTCTTGTTTGTTTTTTTTTTGTTTAAAAATACAAAATAATAATAATAATAAAACAATCTGTATTCTCATCAATACTTTTAACGATTTAAAAGTCCATATAATTGACTAGTTTTTAGTAAAGAAAATTATATATGTTGAGCGCGAGTCAATAATCATTTATATAATTGAAAATGAAAAATATTTTTATTCAATATAAGAAATCGAATAGGCAATTAATTATAATTTAAAGAAAAATAAGATTAAAATGTATACATATGTGTACAATACACTTTATATGATTTTTATTCATATTTAATTATATATATGAAAAAAAAAACTGCATGTGATTGCACTTTGTGAAAAGTGAATGAAGACTTTGTTTTTGTCCATAGCTTTATTCATTGAATTTTAATTCGATCAATCATCTACTTGTTAGTTTATACGATATTTTCTAGAACTTTAATTTATGAAATAAACTTCAGTATTAATTTTAATGAATTTATTAACAAATGAAGAAAATTTGAAAGAAATCTTCATTCTTGTTCAAATTATTCTCAGTTAAATGACAATATTTTATTCATAATAAACTATATAAAAATAATTTCTTGTTTTTCTTAAATAAGAAAAATCTACGTCATATTAACTTGAATGAAACTTGTAGTATTTTCATATCTTGATCATCAACATAGAAAAAGTCAATTAATTCCATATTTAGTATATTCTAAAAGACACTAATACATTCCAGTAGTAGATTTAGACGGAAGGAGGGAGCACTGCAGGCGATCATTTCTCACCATGAAAACCTTTTCTCAGTAGTAAATGCCCAAAAATGAGTTGATACTACTACTAATGAACTTCACAACATGTTTTTAATCAAGATTTCTCTCCTTCCTGTTTAGCAAAATCCTTGATCCGCCGCCAATACATTTTTCATTGTGTACTTTTGAAATTACAAAACATTTTTAAAACTAATTGTAAATAAGTAATGTGTGCATTAATGCAAGTTTTTTTTAACCATTTTTCTCTCTCATCCCTAAAGCAAATTCAATATCAATTATATAAATAGATATGAAGGAAAATTTGTTATTCAAACTTGATTTGAATTTATTGATATTTTTCTAAAATCAAATCGAAATACAAAATACCTGATCAAAGCCAAAATTATAATATAAACTAAAATAAATTATAAATATGACAGCAAAATAAAATATATTGCGTTTTTTTTCTCTCTTCGCTTCCAATTTCTCTTCAAAACTTGATCATATTTATTTATTTAATAGAACAAAAAAAAACTTACCGAAAACCTTTGCCGTTTTTGGTATCTGTATATAAAACATGAATAGAATAAAAAAAAAGATTTTTTTTTACCCGTATAACTCTGCCTCCTATTTTAACAAAGAAAATATAATTTTAGCTAGAACAAAAAAAAAAAGATTTTCTTTTTATGCTTTGTCTCGATAAATAATTATGAGGCTAGCTCATAATTTTCGGCTAGAAATAAAACAGAAATAATCATAGAGTAAAGCAAAAAAAATAATACAAATCATATTTAAAACAAAAGAAAAAGGAATAAACAAACACAAATAACATCTCTTGATGAGATAAATTGGATGTTTCTTGCATAAATCGTCGATATTTGAAAAAAAGAAAAAAAAAAGATTTATTGTCTTCTAAGAAAAACACATAAACATATATATGTATATTTATATATAGTAAATAAATCAATATTGTTGAATATGATAAAGACGAAGAGAAGAATTAATCAATCAATTCCTACAAATAATGATAAAGAAATAACAAAAAAAAAAAAAAAAAAAACAAATAAACAATAATAACAGATTTTCATTCTATTACAATGATGACTTACAAACATCATTGACTCAAATCATAAATATTTCTTTTTTCAAGTTAAATTTAAGCAGAAAAAAAAAGATTTTACTTTGTCTGCTTACCTTAAGAAGAAGGTGCTGTTGATGAATTAATACCATTTGCAGTTTTTGATGCTGCTGCATCAACCCATTGTTGAGCATAAGCAGCCCAAGGATTACCAGAAGACATCATCATAGCAGTAGCTGCTGCTGCTGCTGCTTGTGCTGCATTTGCAGCTGTATCAGTTGAAGGTGTATTTGTTGTAGTTGTGGATGCTGTACTTGAACTAGACTAAAATAAGAAGATTGTGAATATTTCGATTCAATAAGTCTTAAGAAAATGATTCATACGCTTAGAGATGTATAGTATATTAAGTTTTTTGATTATCGATAAAAAAAAAATGAGATTCTTACCGTTGTCATTTGTCGAACAATTTCATCAGCCAATTCATTTTGTCCAATTGACCGATAATATTCAATCCATTGTTGACTGTAATCTGCTTTTCCGGTGACTGGATTTATCGTTATTAAAAATGCATTTATAAATACAAATAAATCAATAGTTAAAAAAAAAAGAAAATCTACAAACCTGGTTCTGCAGAATTAGTATTACTTGTATTTACTGTTGAATCTGTTGATTTTGTGGCAGTTGTACTAGTTGGTGTATTCGGTGTCATATTTGATTGCATCATACTATAATAATTCATTTGTTGATAATAAGCTAACCACATTGGATCTATTTGTCCCATGTCTGAAGCAGCAGTTTTTGATGCTGATGAATTATTATTATTTGATGTACTTTGATCATATGAATTTACTAAAAGAAAAATAGTTTTATTTTTAATCGTTTTTTCAAATAAAACATCATTTACATTGTGGCCATTGTCCATAAGCATTTGCCCATTGGCTATAAGGATCATTACTATTTGTACTATTACCGTATTGATCATTATTACCATTCCATGTGTCCATTGTATTCGTTCCAACTAATGGTAAATTAAATTGTTGTTGAAATTGTATTGGTGTTAACATATCACCAGGGCCACCAGGACTATTCACAACTTTTTCATACATTAATTGCTGTGCTATAACTATTTGTTCAGGTGTACCACGTAATTTAAATACTCTTTCAGAAGAACTTCCCATTGTTGGCATATAAGTTTTATCAAGTTCAACAAAAGCTCCTGATCTTCGATTTATTTCTTTGATACTTTCACCACCTAAAATCAGCTGAAAACTAAGAAAAAAAAAACATTGATGTATACTAACCTTTGCCAATAATAATTCCAGCTTTATCATAAGGTACATGATAAATTGCTTCATTACATGGACCAGTTATAGGTGTATTACTTATCTAAAAATTGCCTTAGAAAAGAAAACAAAAAAATTTTTACAAAAAAAATATTTACTCGTGAATTCGAATCATTTAATGATGTTGCACTATTTTGATTTGTATTAAAACGATTTGCGGAATTAGGTAAACTACCTGATTTTGATAATGAATCAAGTACATATTGTTTAGCACGCTACAATAAATTAAATATAAAAAAAAAAAGAAAAAAAAAAGGATTTCTTGTCTTCTTACTTCTACTCGATCAGATTCACCTATAATTCTTAATGGTTTATGTTCAATTCCATCAACATCTGCTGAATCTTGAACAACATACATTTTAACACCGAAATCTTCCTAAAAGAAAACAAAAAATGTTTTGTGTATTTTTTTTTCTTCATAATAAATCAAATTAATTCCTTACAGATACTCGCTTGATATTTTCACCACCTTTACCAATAACTAAACCACATTTAGCTGATGGTAACATAACATCAATTGTTTTAGTAGTTGTCCCTCCCATTGAATATGGATTAATGCTTGTTGAACCACCTTCAGACATTTTTCCCCTTGATATAATGTCATCCATAATACGTCTAGCTCGTTCAATAGCCTCTCTTGTGCCACATAAATTTGCTAAACGATCAGGAGGATTAGAACTACTAGGTATAGGTTCTGGTCGTAATTGACATATTTGTACTTTACAACCACTTTCAGCTTGAAGTCGAACTATTTGTTCACCACCTTTACCAATAATAAGACCAACAAATTTATCAGGAATTTTATAATCTTCTTGAAATGTTAATTGATTTGAAAGTGGTAATGATGTTGAATCGTATGATGTTTTTACACCTAATTGTGAATTAATTTGTTGTGCTATTTGTTGTGCACGTAAGACAGGTGGTGCCATAGAATTTGTTTGCGTTGGAGAAGTAATTGCTGGACGTTTTGTTGAACTATCTTCTTCATTATTTGGTCGTTTCAACGAAGCATTTTTACCAGCATTTGGTGCTGATGCTGCTAATTTTTGTGCTACTTGTTGAGCACGTGCTATAGCATCTTGAAAAGCTACTGGATTATTTTGCATTATTTAAAACGTTAAATCGGAAGATGGAAAAGTAAAAGCTACGAATGACAGTAATGATTTTATAGTGATTGCAACACTGCATGCATGCGTTGTAAATTTATCTGCCATTGAGATATGATATTGCTGTAAGATGCATAGATGAATAAGATAAATACTTTATATTTGAATAGAGGTACGTCACTATGGTGATGACTTGCATGATGAAAAACATAGAGAAGTAATTCTTTTTATTTTCAAAGGTTATTTATTAGAGATTACAAATCAATTGAATATTCAACAATGTAACTTGGAAAACTAAATTCAAAATCTAAACTCAAACTATTTGTAATTTAAAATCTTTACGAGTTTATATTAAATAAATATTTTCAATTTTTTTGGATATAAATTATTAATTAATGAATTTTATTGAAATTCATTCACATTTTCAAAAAACAACAGCGATTATAAAAATAAATCAATCGAAATAACACAAATATTCTTTTTTTGTTTCGATTGAAAGACATTATTACATATCTCCTTAATTTCGTTTTCTAGAGGTGACAGGTTAACATTAGTATTAATATTAACCTTAATGCTTTGGTATTATGCCAAGTAGTTAGTATTAATTTTTATTCGAATACGCATATTAAATGCGACTGTACTTCTGAGAATTCATACTCGATAGTTTCCGATAACAAAAACAAAGGTTCTTTTTCTAACCGGACATGCCATTCCCAAAACAGAACAGAAAGATTTTTATACTCGGAAATACTATTTTCAAGACAAAAGCAAAGGCTTTTCTAATCAGAAGTGTTTTTTTTTCAAAACAGGAAAAAATTGTTTGATTTTGGGGAACTTTTTGAACTCAGTGCGCTCATGATCTAGTCGTCAGTAATCTCTATATCAGTATTTAAAATAATGCTGATACGTTGACATTAATCAACTTTAATGAAAATACTACCAAAGCACGAAAACCAATTTTAACACTAATGCCTCAAGCATTACCGTTGGTATTAATAAATGCTTATTCTAATACGATAGCCCTATTATTTTCCTTTTCTATTGTATGAACATTAGGAAAAACTAAAATACAATATTTTACAGATAATTGCATTACTTCCAAATAGAAAAGAAATCAGCTTACTTTGTCTGTTTTCTTAATCTTCATAGCATGAAATATGATTTATTGTGTAAAACAAAATCACTTAGCAACATCGATCATACGTATAATTAGAAAAATATATGTATTCTGAGGTCTTTTCTTTCCTTTCTCACATAAATAGAACAATGAATCACATCCTTTTGCCAGGAATGGTTATCTGATCAACTGCACACACATGCCGATAAACTTTGCTATCATTAATAGCCTTAGCAATTTGCTGTACGATAAAAAATATCCAGAATATACCAGCACTATATCTGGTACGAGTATTCTTGTTCCATTCTGTTGGTATCGCCACTTATTATCTGATAATACATACTCTTGAGAACGAAGAAAATCATTATTCATTCTCAAAATAATCTTGTTGTTTGCTATAAGTATGTTATTGTCTGTCATCTATATCTTGTTTATATTTGGACAATTTTGTATTAGTGAAAAATTAAGTCATTTTGGTAAAACTCAATGTAAGCTTCAAATTAATTTTCTTTATTCTATTTATTTAAATGTATTTAGCTAATGATATTAAATATTGTACAAAACCAATAAAAAAGGGTGCTGAGTCATCATGTTTTGATAAAAAGCTTGAATATCCAATTTCTTCTGAAGATTGTGATCTTTTAGAAAAAAATAGTCTAAAATTTAATACTCAATCCTGTCCATCAGATCCATCTCTTACATGTCTTAGTGTTGATCATCAATCATTAATTGGTGCAGGAACATACGGATTAGTTGTACGAGGTCGTTCAAAAACAGTTCATTTTCCTCTTGCAATAAAATTTATGAAATTACCAACTAAACTCGGTACTGTTTCATTCAATACAGTAGGCCGTTATAATCGTATTGATCTTCAATCACTTATTGAAAATAAAGGAAATGAAAAAGGTTTACGTGAAGCTGTTGCACTTCGTCTTATAACTGAATATGAAATTCCATCCATACCAAAATATGTTGCATATATAGAAACATCTTCATATAAAATTCTTGCTATGGAATTACTTGAAGATTATGAAGAATTATCGAAAATAATCGATAAATTATCATCAAAAGATTTAATTTATATATCATGTCAAACAGCAGCTATTGTTTGTAATTTAGATCGAATTGGTATATCACATGATGATATGCATGAAAGAAATATATTAATTAATCGTAAAAATAATAATAAAGTTAATCTAATTGATTTTGGTGGTGCAAATTTTATTGAAAAACAACAAAAACATTTTACTAGTACAAATAATTTTTTAAAACAACCAATTAATTTATTAGGTCATTTAAAACGTATTATTAAAGAAGATTTAGGTGATTATATACAATCACAAGAAAAAAAACAACATGGATATTTTTGTTCAATGATGGAAAAAATTATAACAAGTAAAAATGATGAAGAAAAAGAAGCAATACCTTATTACTATAGAATATTATTTGAAAAATATTGGAAATTTAGTCAAACAAATAAAAAAATTTTTAAATGTGCATTAACAAAATAATTATGTTTGTTTTTTTCTTTTTTCTTAATAGTTAATTATACTTCTATATTAACTATTAATATATGTTCTATTTCTGTTGACAAACTCCAGATGAATTCTTTGACATAAAAATGATTTTCTGTCATTGTTTTCTGACAAATGACATAATTGATTTTTAATAAACTAATTAAATTAAATTCATGTTTAGTAAGAATGATGATATTAAAACAAAATTAAAAATGACATCAACATATACATATTGTGTAGGAAACTTTATAAGTTTACATTATTGTTGCTATGTTTTCATATTAATTTAACCATTGACATATGAGAACTGAAGAAAAAACCAAAAGAATGACTCAAGATGAAAAAATATTTTTTTGTTTTGTATTATGAAACTTATAATTAACTGAACCGTCAACCTAAATCAAAAAAAAAATATTTTACTTTCTTTTTCCTTCAACTAAACTAAGAAATCGCTAGCCGTCTCACACTCAACAACATAAAGTGTTTTGTTATTGTTTTTAACAATAAGGTGAACTTAAGTGCATGTTTTTTTTTTATATCCTGTATTTCAGTTCGTTAAAAAAAAGTCTTATTCATCAAGAAGTACTCGTTAGCATTGTAGATTGAATTATACTTTCTGTCAAGGCACATTCCTGTTGAAGTACAAATATATAATAGAAAAACAACATTACATCGCAATTCATCACATATTTCATTTTATATAGTACCGAATGAAGAATCATCTAGTAAATCAAATCTATCAAAAGACAGAAAAAGAAGAATACTTTATATATATTTTTATTTTGTCTATCACTCTTTATGTTCTACAAATATAATATTGTATTAAAACATTAATTAAATTATCTATTTATAAATATCTTTCCATGATATCCTAGACAGAAATAGTCTTAAATTTAATCTGAAAATTTTCTTCTATTTTCAGTATTTTTCTTTCCTGGTAATTTTATAAGTAATAAGATACATCGTATAGATTATTCACAAAGCAAAAAAAAAAGAAAAGATATTTTTACAGTTTTATACATGAATAGATTAACCTATTGAGACGTGTATAGTGTATTTCATATGAACTTTAATTTAATTATGTTTGATTTGAATATCAAAAATAAGATTTCTGTTTTGTCAAGCAGTAGTATCAACACTGATAATATACAGAAAAAAAAAGAAAACTTGTTTTTTTTTTTTTTTTTTGAATTAGAAACTGTCAAATTCAGCTGGATAAAGTTCTGTTGTAGAATGTGTCATAGGTTTTTCATCATATTTTTCATAATGATCTTTATCTGGTTTTGGTATATGTTGTGCTTTAACACGTTTTTCAAATATAGCAATCCAATTAATAGCTGTAAACCATTTATGATATTTAATATCTCTTGTACCATTTTTTAAATTTCCATAACGTTTTGTTAAATCAGCTTGTAATAAATTACGAACTAAATCTTTAAGATCAGATGAAAAATGTGATGGAAATTTAAATTTTCCTTGAACTATTTTTTCATAGATTTGTATTGGTTGATCAGCATAAAATGGTGGATAGCCCTTAGAAAAAAAAAATTTTTTATTTAAACTATCAATAGTTTTCATTTTTTTAATTTTCTTACAGCAGCCATTTCAAATATTAATATTCCTAATGCCCAATAATCAACACTTTTATTATAACCACGCGATAGAATTATTTCCGGAGCAATATACTATAATATAAAAAACAAAAAAGAAAGATTTTCTTTTTTTCGCTCTCGAAATCAACAATATTTACTTCAGGTGTTCCACATAATGTATATGTACGATCGCGAACAAGTTTAGCAAAACCAAAATCAGTTATTTTTAAATAACCATCAGCAGCAAATAAAATATTTTCAGGTTTTAAATCTCGATAAATAATACCTGTGTGTTAGAAAAGAAAACAATAACAACAAAAATAAATCAATGATTAATATTAAAATAAGTGTTTCGACATACTCAAATAATGTAAATATTCAAATGCTAATGCAACTTGAGCAGCATAAAAACGTGTTTGATCTTCAGAATATTTTCCAACGGTTCTTTATTAATAAAAGAAAAAAAAGAAGAAGAAAAAAAGAAAAATTTATTTTTATGTTTTCTTTAATAATCTTACCGAAGATGTGTAAACATTTCGCCCCCACTAGCAAATTCTAATGCTATATAAAGATGTGAATTATCTTTAAATGAATAAATTAAATTAACCAGAAACGGAAATTTGATTGCTTGTAAAATACGTTTTTCAGATAATGTGTGTTCGACTTGTTTTAATTTAACAATCGTTTGTTTTTCCATTATTTTTAATGCTAATGTTTGATTACTATGTTGTGCAATCATAACACGACCAAATGAGCCCGTACCAACAGTACGTTGTAAATTAAATTCATCTAATTTAGCTGTTTGTTTAGCTGGTTGAGCATATTTTGCGTCAAATTCTTGCTTAGCATTTTCAAGATACGAACTAACTTGAGCATCTATATGAGCTTGACTTGCGTTTGACATTGTACCACTCGATGACGACGATGACGAATTATTACCCATAGATACAGATTTTTTTTAGTTATATTTATATATTGTGTCTAGAAGATAGAAAACAAATTAACCTTGCATTATGTTTATCGATCTCTATGAGAAAAATTAGATCAAATAACAACAGAAGGCAATAGTATATTATGTATTTTTTTTAATTGCATCAATATATATTTTGATAATCTGTTTCTTAAAAGAGAAAAAAAAAGAACTTATCTAATTGTCATAGTACTGTGATATTCATAGAAGAGAAAAAAAAAGACATGGATAGGTTTTTTTTTTCTATGTACTTAATAGGAACTTTCATGCTTTTCTGTTGTTTTTACTGTCGTCTATCTATATAACTATGTTCTGCTGTTCTCTCTCTCCCTCTCTTCTCGCCATGTTACTATTCATCTGAAAGAATGAGGGTAAGATGCCACATCACCCATTAATATATTATCTGCAATCTAGTAATAATCTTCTTTTGGCGTCAGTGAGATCTTACTATTCTCTTCTTTCCTGTATTCTTGCTATTTGATCGATTACACATTTTGCCGTCGTCGTAGTACTAATTCACTAGTCGGGTTTGTGCATGAACAAATAATAGATCTACATTTAATCTCATTTTATTTCGATTCGTTTGATATGGTGTTAAGCTTGTCAGATAATGAATAAATAGGGCAGTAATTTTCGAATGAATTATAAATGAAACTAAGAGAGAGCGAGAGAAAAAAGTCGAACATCCACTGTTCTGGCAAGAAGGCGTGCTAAAAAATTCCACTAAACTAACGTACATATAAGATGATTTACCTGTTTTTTTTTCCTAATGATAATCAACAGATAACAATAAAGCAACTACCAAACTATTAATAGTATTGTATTTTAAAAATCTACCACTAGAAAAGACAGAAAAAAGTGAATAAACAAAGTGTCACACACTTCAAGAAATTGAACACGTTTGTGTTCTTGACAGTATAAGTTAGCACAAAAAAAAATGTTGTTCTTCGTCCTGCTCGCACTTATTTTTTTTCAAAAAAAGAAAAACGCAGTCGCAGTAGATTTTCTCTTTTTCTTCTTCATCTTCCCACGACTTCTTTTGTATTCTGATGGCAAATGGTGATTTTTCTCCTCTTCTCTCCCTCCTTCTTTCTTCTGACTTTCTCTTTCCATCAAATACTTCTTTTTTTTTTGCTCTGTGTGTGTGTGTGTGTGTGCGTTCTATGTTGGTATGTAACTGCAAGACAATTCGTTGTGATTAACTGTAACACAAATAAACACTTCTTTCTTTTGTTGAACTGCTATTGTTGCTATAGACGAATTTCTCGTTGTCTACAGATGATGACTTAATTGTAATGTACTTTATAAGATTGTTCTTATACATTGACAAATTGAAAAGTAGACTTAAGATTAATCATTCAATATGCAATCAACAAAAAGAATCAAAAGCACAAAACGCAATACTTATATAAACAAAGCTTTTATAGACATATAAAAATAAGTTTTTTTTGATCTTATAGATATGAATGATGGAAGCCGCAGAGCAACAAATGTACAAACATGTATCTCATATCGATATTGATGAATAACAAGAAAAAAATAAATCTACCACTCACTCGATGTGTATTTATGCATATGGCCTCGTTTTTCCGCATACCTGGTTGGAAACGATTAGGTCTATTTTCTTGATAAAAGATAGTAATGACACAAAAAAAAAACAAGTCGAGCTCACTTAACAAGAATACAATCTAAAAAATGCATGTTTATTGAGATGTATATAGAAAACTATTATCAACTCGAGAATACTAGGATGATTAATATGCAACCAGTTTTAGTTATATGTTTGTCTGTATGACCTAGAAATAATGTTTATATTCATTCGATGTACATTATAGAATAAAAATAATGCTGAAAAATTTTAACGCTACATATCATAATATGTCAACCGTGTCTTTATTTAGCACAAGTAATTGACGTGTTACACTTGCATGACTTCCCACCTGTCTTTTCTCTGTTCACTAAAAACAAAAAAAATAGTCTCCAAGGTATAGCAGTTGATGTATGACACGAAAAAAACCTAAAGAAAGAGAAAAACTTCATTGTTTGTCTTTATCCATCGTTTTTATTGTTGCTGTTATTTATATAATTGTGTTTTTTCATTGATCTTTCTATAGTGTTTTTTTCTTTTTTTTTTTTTTTTTATTATACACCATATATTTAGCAATCTATATTCATAGAACAAAGGTTGAACTAATTCAATATTTAATTATAAATAGCATATAATTAACCTTGGGTAATAAGACAAATGGAATTTGACTAAGAGTTTTTCCATTATTAGAAAAAAAAAGCAGCATTTCTTTTTCTTTTTTTAATGAATATAATCATGAATATATGAATAAAAAAAGAACTAAATCTCTATTTAAATATTAAAAAAAAAAAAGAAATGCCGTCATCCATGAAAATGACATAGAGAAATTCCTTTGACCTTATAATACGTACTGTTTTCTTTTAATTTAACTTGAATATTCTTGATTATTTTTATTATATTGAGATTTAATTTCTGTCAATATGACAAGAAAAAAAAAACGAATAATAAAAATTTTTATGCCATCAGTGAAAAATTAATAAAAAACTTTTCTTTTTCTAATGCTCTTTGAAAAAAAGAAGATAAAAGCCGAATAATAATCTTTTATCGGCAATATTTTTTTTACCTGCATTGAATGACGTCTACAATGGAAAAAAAAAGGGAAAAATTACTTGATTGAGAAGGTAAACACATTTAATTGAAACTATTAGAATAATAATAATTAATGAATTTTTTTTTTGATTGAACCGTTTATGAACTCTCTAAAAACAACAAAAATTTCATAAACAGATTACGTAATTTTTATGGCTCGATTGTTTTCTCTCACATAAGTGTCAACATTGTGATTATCAAATAATAATTGATATTAAATATTTACATTTTTGAACGTGTCCGATGCAATAAAAAAAAAAAATTATATCAAATATAACTATGATATAAAATACGTGTTTATATATATAAATCAATCTGCTACTGTTCTATTTTAGTTCAGAATCGATTTTAAAATCTTTCGAATAATGCTGAATTCTATTGTTCAATAAAATAAATTTAAAATGTTATTTAAATTAAAATCGAGTGAACTTAAATATGTGTAAATAGAAAGAGGAAAATATTAGTTAAATGGTTCATTATTAATTCTTTTTTTTGCATGTATTATAATGCAGTAAAACTAATAGTTCTTTTCATCTTGCAACATATGTCTCATCAACATCAAGCAATGGTTTCGGAAACTCTTTTATTTACAATAAAAAGAAAATAATTATATCGTTTTTCACATATTAATTCTATAGGGACTTTATGAAAATATTTTCATTATACTAAACTATTGACTTATAGCTATTCACAAAATAATCATTCAAAGAGTGTAATGAGACTGTTCGCATTGCAATTATTGATTGTGTATAACTGTTATCCATTAGGTACTAAAGAATAAATAGCAAAGAATTGATCTTATGAATAATATAATAAAGCATCCGAAATTCGATTTCCCAAGAGAATATACTTGAAGAAAATTTTATTATTAAAATCTTTCGAAAAAAAAAGCTAACATTTCTCATAATATTTTCCATAATAAAATCAATTACATCAACATCCATATATCATATTAAAAAATTATTCATAATTACTACTACATAAATATTCTGTAGGAAAAATAATGTTGAACGAAAAATTCTTTTGATTTTTCTACTATATTTACATGTTGTCTTTCAATAGGACTATTTATTCCATTGATAAGATTAAGTAATTCATAAAGTAATGTATCTAGTCTATAAATAAATTTTAAAATATTCGTTCATCAAGCTATTTCTATTGACTAATACCAATAAATATTTAATTAATACACAATGATTTTAATAAGTTTTTAATAATAAAATCAAGCTCAATAATTGATTTAAAAATTTACTAATAATAAATTTAGGCATTTAACTATGTAGATTTCAATGGAATATATAAAAGTAATATTAATCAACACAAAAATGAAAACCGAGAATACAAACTATACTTGAATAATTCATTCTAAGCCGTTTTTTTTTCTATAAGATTGGAATAGAATACCAGTGTTATGAAGATGATTTAAAATCTATTGTATAATATCACGAATTTCTCATTATCAATTCTTTTTTTTTTCATGAAATACGTACATCAATTATCTTTTGATCATATTGTCTTATAACGTATTTAACGAATTAAATTTACGATTCGATTACTACATAACAGGTTGATTTGTGACAAAAACTATTAAAATCATTAATAACTTAAATGATGTAATCCTTTGTTGAATTTTACTCATGATTTTTATTACATAATATTCACATGTGTAACCAACTAACATAAATTCATATACTCAAAAATAATAAAGAAAGACAGGTCAATCAAGCATGACCTATAATGCGTTCTCATCAATTTCAAACTAAAAAAAAGAAAAGAAAAGACAAATCGTTATCAAATTGGGACATATAACAGATGTGCTGATTTATGATGTACTATTGTATACGTTCTTTCTTGTAATAAGGTCATCTAAAGATGACCAAAGGCTATCTTCACGTAAGAATAACAATCAAGGCAATAGAACGAGGACAAAAAAATTCATTTTATATTACAAGGTGAACAATTCATTATCATAGTCCATCAAGGATTGAAGATATATTAATTGTAGGTAATTCTGATGTAATCAGTACCTTCAATATATCATTTGAATATCAATCAATTGCACAAGACTATCGAATATTCTGAATATTTTTTTGCTAACTATCAACTATCTTGATCTTAAATCAATAATTTTATATTTTATCTATTATTTATTTCTATAATAGGGTTCTAAAGACAAAAAAAAACAACAAAGAATACTTTCACCGGGTATTTAAAAAACTGTACAAAAAAAAAAAGAAAAAGGAAACAAAAAACTGCATATCTACTGTATATCTAATAAAGTTTAATATTGTCTTGG